ATGTCGAAGCAACGGTAGCTTAGTTTTTCCGTTCTATTGCCGGCGTTTTACTAGTTCCTGGGACTTCAAGCCTCTTCGAAGTTTTACGGGCAGATCTAGTCCGCTTCTTCATTTGGTTCACGGGAGCAGGGGCCATTGATTATGTGCTGCATTGAGCAGTTACCAACACTGTCAGAACGAGCTGGTTCAGTGGCAGCATCTTCGGAATGTTTTCCTGTGCACAACCGTCAGATGACTAGGACTGTCAAGGACGGCATCTTTTTCGATGCCGTGGCAACTAATTCTCTGTGTTCAGCAGAGGGCTTCTGGTACTTCCGCAACCTATTTTTTACTTTAAACGGCTCATAAGGATAGTCAGCAATGCCACCTGGAGTTTCCGGTAGGATGTGAGACTTCTTGACCGAATGACAGACCCCACTGAGTGAATCGTTAGGAATGTTAGTTTAGTGCAATGTCCTCAATCGCAATATTCAGGGATTTCAAAATCAAATCCATTTCCGCATCGAGCGAGGCACTAGAGGCGAATTTGGCCATCGTCTTCTCAATACCCACCAATCTTGAAGCCAGCGCTGATGTTTAACACCGGTGATAGCCGAGCACGTCGATCTTTGAGCGCAGCATTCAGCACAGCTGAAAAGGAAGTGTACGTCGGACGATACCATTTTGTGCTGGTCTGCTTGTTGGCCGGTAAGGCTTTCGTAAAACCAGCGGCAGCAGAAGTCACACTGCATACCGCCAGATAAATCTGCTACTGGCTCTGAACAGTTAGACAGTCCGCAAGCTGCACTAGACTCATCAAACGAGGACGCAAGGGGTCCAACCGCCTCAATGTTTAGTGAGACAGCCATGTTCATTTAGAAAACAGAGCAGAATTACAACACGTTTAGTAAAACGACCGCAATAAAAAAGAGAAATAGAGGATGCAAAACGGGATTAAAACTGGCAAAATCCGGCAAAATAACCAGTAAGCGATAAAGATGCTTTGCTCAGTACCACTTTAATCGATGCAAGTTATCTTGGATCAGAGGAAATTTGACAATAGTTAATTCCATTTCAAGTATTTATTCAAACGCTGTTTTCCTCGTTATTTCAGCTAAAAAGCTTGATCAGTATGGCAAGTGGCTAATATTTGACATGAAAAATTGGCCTGGAGTGACTATGTGTTCCGGTACACCAGACTAAATGGTGATGCTTTCATAACTGGATTTGAAACAGATGTGCATAGGTCCCTTTGTGCTTAAGTATGTACAAAAACGGTAGATGGTAAGGTTTATTAGTTGTAAATTTCGCTTTCGTTCATCCCGATTTCAAAAAATACAAAAATACCACAATCGTTAAGGGACTTAGTGGTATTAGTTCCACCCATCTCTTTGAGTTGGCTACGTCAGACCATCTGCGCGGGCATCGCCTGAAACTCAAACATCACAGAGCTCGTTTGGACATCAGGGCAAAGTTTTTTACGAACCGAGTAGTTAACTACTGGAATAAACTTCCTTCTGATTTAGTGGAGTCTGAGACCATAGCAACCTTCAAAAGGAGCTTAGACGATTGTGGGTCCATCCTTTTTCCAGAGCTATTGTAGTTGTACTGGTAGATGCAGTGTATCTTGATGCTGGCATATGAAAGTGCAGAGACTGCTCTTGTTCTTGCATCATTCCATTGCAGAAGCAAGAAACAATCCAACGTCGAAGTGCTGAGGGCCGATTCACTTACTGGCACAAGAACTGGAGGCTAGTTAGGCGGAAGCATCTATCGTCCATCTGACCTGACCTGACCTGACCTGACCCCAATCCAAGCAAGTGGAGAGAGGATCTTAAAGTTCATCTTGTAGAAGCGGTCAGCGATGCTGTTGGTAGCGCAGAGCTACTCTGGTGTAGGATCAACGATGGCTTCAAATCCGTTATGGTTGGCGTCATCTACAAAGCCCCGTGGGGACATGGTACTTCTGTACTAGACTTTATCAACTCGCATGGAAACCGCAGAGATTGTCTTATTGTGGGTAGCTTTAATGCCCCGCATGTCAATTGGGACCTACTGCACTGCCACCTTTCACCCGAGTTATTTGACACCAGCTTCCTTGAAACTGTCCTCAAAACGAATCTCACCCAGCATATAACACCGCCCACTAGGCTTCTTCCCGGCCAGACTCCGCAAATTCTCGATCTTGTGCTCACTCCGTCCCTGGCAGATGTCTCAGAATTGACCCTTCTACCACCCGTAGGCAAAAGCGACCATTGTACAATCTCCTTCCTATGGACTAAACGTCTAGCTATCCGAACCCGGAGCGCACACCGTCGCAACTTCTGGCGAACCGACGCATTCAAGCTAAGGGTGGCAGCAGGTACATTGGACTGGCATGTTCCACAACACTTAGATCTCGATGCTGCTTGGAACGATTTATTCCGCAAATTGAAGCTCCTCATCGAGGAGGCCGTCCCATTCCACAGTAACAGGCCTCTTTCTAAGGGTCCCCCTGGATCGACCGAGAACTCAGGGCCAACATGAAACAACGACGAAAACTATGGGACCGATTCAAGCTTTTCCGCCTAGACTCAGACTACTCTAAATACAAAGCCATCAGGAACTTCTGCTCCCTGCAGAAACGTGAAAAGAGACAACGAAACGCGCATAGCCTGGCCGAACAATCACTCTCTAGGCCAAAGACACTATTTTCATACCGTAATAGATCCTCCAACCGGGCTGTGGAATTCCTGCATTGTCTACTAATGAGCCAGGTATGATACACTATGATGATGACGCCAAAGCTGACCTCTTGGCTCTGCAGTTCTCCTCAGCATATACGAAGGGAGACAGACTCGCAAACGTTCATGTAGTTGCACATACAGTACCTCTGGAACATATCGATATCGATGCAGGTGCTACCTTGAAGCTACTACTAGAACTGCACTCCTCTTCCTCACCAGGCCCAGACGGGTTACATGCATAGTTTCTCAAGATGGTTGCAGAATTCATTGCCGTCCCACTTTGTCAAATCTTTCAGCTCTCTCTTAAAGCTGGTCGACTACCTGTCGATTGGAAGACGGGTGTCGTTATGCCGAAATACAAAGGTTGAAACCGCCAGGATCCTGCGAACTATCGGCCAATTAACTTGACGTCGGTCGCCTGCAAGATCATGGAAAAGCTCATTAAATCTGCTATCCACCAACACTGCGAAGATCTTAACTTCACCACAGTCACTCAGCATGGCTTCCGAAAGGGGCACTCCTGCATCACTAACCTGCTGGTCGCTAGAGAGAAGTGGGCTAAATCAGTGGACGCTGGAAAAGTTTAGATGTGGTCTTCATCGACTTCAGCAAAGCTTTTGACAGAGTCCCACATCAGGAACTACTCTCTAAGCTCTGCGGAATTGGCGTGCCAGGGAACCTCCTACTATGGATCAGTGAGTTCTTGCAAGGCCGGAACACGCAAGTCAAAGTAAACGATACCCTTTCATTCCCCGTGCCTATGTATAGTGGCGTACCACAATGCTCCGTTCTCTGACTGGAATGGTTCAAGATATATATCAATGATCTACCAAGTATGCTACAAACGGACTGTCTGATCTATGCAGACGATCTAAAGCTATGGTCGGAAGTGTCCAGCCTCGAAGACGCCGACCAATTACAGGAAACGCTTGATCTACTGCACTCTTGGGCTATCAAGTGGGGTTTGCCTGTCAACCAATATAAATACTCAGTCCTTTCTATGGGTGCTGCTGATCCAATGGACATCTTTCACATCGGCGGGCACCTACTCAAGTTTGCCACACAGGAAAAGGACCTGGGGATAATAATCTCCTCTGATCTCAAAACGACCCTTCACACGTTAAAGATAACTGCTGCGGCGAACAGGATGTGGGGCGCCATAAGGAGGTCATTCTCTATAATGATGCCGCAGATATTTAGACTTCTCTTCACCTCCCATATCCGTCCCATGCTTGAATTCGGATATCCGGCCATAGCCCCTTTATCTAAACATGAAGGTGACAAGATAGAAAATATTCAGCGACGAGCCTCGAAATTGGTCCTTGGGCTACGCAACCTCCCGTACCCCACCCGCCTACAGAGGATGAACCTTTTTCCCTTAGACTATCGCCGAAGTCGCGGAGACCTCATTTATACCAGGCGCATCCTACGAAGAGAACTGTGAAACGAGCTAAGGCAGTTCTTTCAGCTAAGACTTGGCAGCTCGACTCGAGGTCACAGCTGGAAGCTTTTTAAACCAAGGAGGCTCAAAGTCCGCTTAGATGTCGCTCTCTCTACTCGAGTGATTAATGACTGGAACCGACTGCCGGACCCGATTGTCAATGCGCAATCAGAGGCGAGTTTCAAATGTTTGCTAGACATCTTCCTACTGAGTACTCCAGGATCCTGCAGGGTTGATATTACATCCTGAGCCATGACAGCCAACTCGCCTGCAATCCTTGGAAGATCGGAAAGCGAAGCAGCTGACACGAGACCCCCTTCTGCTCTCTACCACTCAATGAACTCAATGAACAATAAGTTAATGCAAGCATAAACTTTGCATACATGAAACAATTGCATTAACAGTTATTTGCTCCATAAAACAGCCGTTCACACTTCACCTTTATTTACCAGTTGCCTGCTTTCGATTATGCCGTGAAACACAACTACACCTATAGTCATCACTTAATCATCACCGCACTCACGAAGCAAATCCATATAGCATTATCTTTTATTTCCCACACCCTAGTACCACCAAAATTAAAAATATACTCTGCAGCCACTCAAACTAACTTGGATGTTACCGAGGACCATGGTGGCGAAACCCATTCCCGCCAACACAGAAATTTGCCCTTCCCCAGTATGGCACCCCAAAAAGTCGAGTTACTGCGTAGTACTCACAGGACCAGTTAAAGTTGTAGACGAACACAAGTAAGGGAACACAAACGCAAATGTTTCTGCGCGTAGTAGTGCCGAAATGAAGGAAAGTGAAGAAGGAACAGCAATTGCTGTCTAATTGTAGTCTAACGAGCTTACCTCCTGGTTTTCTACAAGGACACGTGTCCAGACTGCTGCACCGTAGCCGCCTTCTTGCAAACATCTCAGGGTCACGGTCACGGTCTCGGCCGAAGGACAAAACACTTGGAGAACAATCGTAGTGGAAATAGTAGAGCTTACGACGGGCTCAAGTTAAAGTTAAATGGGTCGGGGACAATGGGATAATAACCTGGATGTTTCCTTTTGTTGCTTTCTTGATACACTGGTTTGTGGAAAGCATAAAACTTTTATCAACTTCAAATTCGGTTAGGACTGGAGGGTTAGACGAATCCCGAGAGCATTCCATCGTGGGTGGATCGTTGAGCCACGACTTGAGGAACTGCTCAGTGGTTGATGGAGTTAGAACGGAACACCCGTATCGCACCCTGACCACCCAGTTAATGCCAACGTTTCCCGCCTTAGCAGTCCCTTCTGTGGCAGTCACAGGAAGTAAGCAAGTGATTGCAAGGGAAATCGGAGGTACAGCATAAGGAAGTGCACTTGAAATAAGTAAATAATACCAATGCGTGAAGAAAAGGAGAAAAGAAAAGCGAGGTATGAAAATGCGAGGTAGTCAGGAAAAGGGGGAAGGTTCCGCGTTACCACCCAAGAACGTCGACTTGCCGCTCAAACCCCTTAACCGTAGCTTCCCTGATAACACTTTCCGGAAACATGTTCAAGAGCCAGATGACTCGGCGTGACAGCCGGATTTCCTCCCTAATCCGATCAGACCTTGGTTTGTCCAGTTTCAAGAAATGACGGCGTAGAACAGCCAATCAAGCGGGACTGAATAGCCAAGGTAAACCTGGACCAACCTTCTCACTTAAGATGCCTTAGGTTATGATTAAGTCTTCTCTAAGCCTTCGGTAATGCATTGAATGAATTACCAGACTAAGTAGACGCTCGGGTTACGTCTGTCCCCGTACTCTCTCAAGCAACCCAATACCTACCAGTAAAACCCTCTCCAGCTCCGCTTTGTCCCGGGCGAGGCGGGCGTAAAAGCCTGGTTGCAGTACTCCAGAGTAGGCTGAACGAAAGCCGAGAATAGTCTCGTAAAGATGCCGCCCGTCAAGCCTCTGAAAGAACGTCCTATTAACCACAACAGGCAGAAACCTCTGCTTACGGCCATCCGCCAGTTGTCGCCGGAGTGTAAAGCCGAAGAGTTCACGACGTCTAGAACAACCTGGCTTCATACAAGGAGGACTTCGACCCCACTGACCAAGTATTTCGCAAGAGGACAACCTCTTCCATTTCGAAGAAGGAGCACTTGGCCTTATTAATGTGAAATAACCATAAAGTAGATCAGTCCCAAAGCTTATCTAATGCTCGCTGAAAAGCTTTTGAACATCCAGGGACATCGACAAAGTGCCCAGCTTCAGGGCATCAGCAAATGGCAGCGAGAGTATCTCAAGCTCCGCAATTAGATCATTCACTTAGATAGAGAACTGCAGCGGTCCAAGGACCGAGCTCTGCGGCACGCCACGGATGACAGACTGCCTAAAGTATAAGTCACAGATTACCCGTACCCACTGTTCTGTACCATACAAGAAGGCAGTCACCCAATAAATGGCGCGGTCAGATCCCCCTTAGGAGGTCAGCTTTCTCACGAGCCTCAAATGGGCGATCTAGACAATTTTCTTCGAAAAGTCGACGAAAAGCAGGTCCAGTGCGCGGCCGTTATCCACTGCATCCGCCCAACTTTCGCGAGCCACCAGTAAATGAGTCAGGCTTGAAAATCCCTTCCGGAGTCCGTGTTGTACATAGCTAAGTAGTTTAAAGCTACTCAGATGACTCTCCAATGAGTTTCTCACCTTTTTCTCGAGGAATCTGACTATTACACTCGTCAGACTAACTAGCTTGTAGTTTGCAGGCAGACCTGTCCGCATTCTTGATGATGGAACAGATGACAGCTTCCTTCTATTCGGTAGGAAATTCACAGTTGTCGAGCGCTTTTTGAAACCCTGTAGCGAGAGGTCCACTTAGTTCCGCAGCCACGCATGCAACTGTTTCGAGTGAATTTAAGCAGGAACATGCACCTTAGTAGGTGTGAGCCCTTGTGATAGCCTGCGAAATTCCGTCTCCGCTGGAATAAATGCAGATAGTCCTGCCCCCTCTGGGATCCTGCAAACCAGCTCGACGCCTGTCAAAGAGGTTTCTCTTAAAAAGCTACTGCATGCTGCTCACTAAGTACGCAGACCTTCTTACTGTCTATATGCGCATGAGGACCGTCATCGCGCATCAGTACTGGAATTGATATGTTCGATCTGCAGCGCCTTTTGACATATGCAAAGAATTCTTTGGGATTCTCTGAAGCTTCATCTGCTAACCCTTTCTTAAAATTGAGCCGAGCACTCCTTATATGTTGCGTACACCTATTTCTAGCCTTACAGTACCATATGAACATCGATGGAGGGAGCATCTCAGTAAGTCCGCCAACATTTAGACCCCTTTCTGAGCAGATGTCTGCCAGTTGAATCTATCCAGGATGGCTGTGCTTGTGCATCCTTTCTCTTTGTGACTGTGGTGGAGGGAGCAGATACCTCTATGAGTTAGGACTTAACTTGGTCAGCCCCATCACTTCCCGCTCGCGGTAGGGATCATAGGCGTTTATGTGGCACTGTGTTTCACAAGGGCGCATTGCGGTGCCAGTCCACATGGCAAGAACCATTGTTGCGCAGCAAGCAGATGTCTTGCAAGCGTTTGCGACCTTCTGCTGTTTGCGCACTAACAACTAGCTCAGCTAACCTGTTCAAGACATTGATCACACGAGTTGACAAATTTACTTCAGAGCGTACCCGAAGCATTTTCAGTTAAAAACATTCATATCGTGGCCTCATGTCAAACTATCCGCACGACGAAAGAACTCCGGTGCTTCATACTCCATCTCATCTCGGAGAATACGTTGCGTGTAAATCAAGTCACTAATACGACTACGACACTCTAGGGTAAAGGAGTTCGTCCTTTGAGGACGATGACAGTAAACCAGGTTCCATTGTTGTACGACTGCTTTGGATCCCCGCCGCGGAACATTCTCTATCGGTACGCATGTGCCTTTCGTCAGAGTATAGGATGCCGGCATTCCGTACCCCAGAATTGGTCGAACATGAGAGATATAAAGAACTCTGAAAATCTCTGATTTCCTCTGGAGAAATGATCTTCTTAAGGGAACGAACGTCCTGTTAGCAGTGGCAACTACCTTTAGGGTGTCTTGTGTCGTGCTTGATTTGGCGAGACAAGAACTCGAGATCCTTCCCTAATATTTGTTTCTGAGCAGTAAGCCCTCAATGTAAAAACACCAAGCGGTCCGGGGCTTCAAGTGAGAGAACAGGAAACTTAGCATGGTTACTCGGAGCTCCCACACCATTGAATAGCAGCGCAACCGGTCCAGCCTGGTGTTTTGTTGTTATTTAAATGGGCCTGAAATTGCTCGATACATCGGTGTATCAGTCCTGCTGAACAACTCGCCAGTTTTAGGTTGGGTGAACTCGTACTCTGTGAAGTAGTCGCACTTTGCTTTGTGCATGTACCTTGGAAATTTCCCTATTCTATTCGGGCCACTGGTTTGGTGACGGGGCATCATTTCCATTGGTTTCCTTGCTTTGCCTCCAGCAGGGGATTATGGTTTGGGCAACCCGTTTGTATTATAGCGGAGTTTGACGGCGTGCTTTCGGTAAATTTACCTGCACAACAACACGTTTTCCGACCGACTACGATTTCTGAAGCCTTGTAATCTTACCCGTCTTTTTACCACTGGAAACTAACCAGTAACCGCTCGCTGTTTGCCCGCCGTTATTTATTTGGCAACGGCGGATTTCATGGATTTCTCCTTGTGAGTTGCTCCTTGTGCTTGAAGTTGCTAGCGGAAGTTCGGTTTTCCTGTTCTTGGTGCCTCTGCTCTTCTGAAACTAACCAGCGGTCACAACCATGGAGTTCAAGTCGGTTTTGTGACATCTTTTACGATTTTTTGAGCCCATTTCAATTCAGGTATGTCGCGCTTGCTATTTCCTACTGGTTCTTTCGTCGATTACATAGTTGGTCACCGTATGCCTGTGCACTGCTCCGTTGCTTAGCGTTTACGTTAATTCCGCTTTCTGACACCTTTCTGTCGTGCGGTTTGCGAAGTGCTGTGTAAACGCGCTGTCTCCTCTTTCCGATGACTCTGTTTACGTGTCTGAAATCGGTTACAGAATCATCCGGGGGCATGTAACGTCTTAACGGTAGCTATTAGTTCCATGAAGGCTGTACTGGCTTGGACCCGACGCGGTATGAGTTTATGGCTAATAGCGAGGGCATGCTATGCCGTTGTGGTGACTTCTGTGTACTTAAAACAGAGCGTTACACGACAGTAAAAAGCAATCCGGTTTCTTTGGAAAGCCTGATGGCTGATCCGTCTGCTGGACAGGAATGTTGATTGGATAGCCAAGTGCCTGGACCATTCAGGTCTCCTCCGTCTGGAGACACTGGAAGCTACTTAAAAGTTACCAGATCCGCATCTGTTTACTCTCATTCTACTGTTAGTACACCAATGCGTAACAACATAGTTAGCATCGAACCCTCAGATAGCGTGCTTGCCTCGTCTATTAACAAAGGAGACAAGCTGCTTTCTGCCGTTGTTAAAGGAAAGCGGTAAAGGATAAAAAGGATAGCGGCTCACAAGGCAGACTTGTTAGAAACGTCGGGTGCCTATCCCCGTTCCTCACAACTTTATTAATGCTCTACAGTCGCAGGTGGACTCGTCTACGAGGTTGGATTCAGTGAAACTGAAAGCTTAACAAACAACTAAATAGACAACTACATTTTTATTTTCGGCTGCGCGAGGCACGCCTTTAAAGGCATGATCATAATATATGTACAACAATTGCTCAAGTAATGTGCAATATTTTACTGGGATTTTCATATATTTGGATCCATAACTGTCTACAGGTAGGTACGCAGGTTTGTTGCTTGCATTCTTAAATGGGTTGCTGGTCTTTTGACTGCGTTTGATTACGTCACCAGTGTCCAAAGAAAGCTTTAACGGCTGTGGATTGGATAAGATTGTCCGAGACAATAAAAGCCATGATTAAGT